CCGATGCAGTGTTGTGAGACGGGCCGGGTTTTCTCGCGCATGCGCGGCCATGATAACCATTAGCAACGACGTATCTATCTGCAGTAATAACAAGGTTATGCTGTGGGCGCGAAAGTTTTATTTTGTTTTGTTATTATATATATTTTGTGCTTTAAATTATTTTAACATTCTTCCCTCTTTCAGTTTATCTCTTTCATCACACAATTTTTCCTTAAATTACAAAAACTTTTGCAAAATTATGTACGGGTGGTCAATGGTACACCTTTTTATCCATATATATACTTCATTGATGCTACGTTCGCCGCGCATGCGCGAGGAAACTCGGCCCCATCTACAACACTGGTCCGACGTATGTCAACGCATGTTCTCGTACCTTTCCGGTTAAAATTCCAAGATGGTAAGGTTGTTACGTCTCTTAAAATCTATCTGCATCACGCATATGTGATGTGAATCCTTTTAATATACAAGAAAAAATCGTTGTAAACATTTTCGTGCAATCAATAATAAGTTTATTAATTAATATGTACGTCTTATTGTTGGGAAAATAATAGTGTTATTTCGATGCATGACATCGCTCCACTTTGTTTCCTTTTAACAAATTCTTGATATCTCCTGCTTTTTATTGCACTGTTATTAGATTACAACTGTTTTTTCTTGATATTTGAAAAAATTATAGCTTAACTCGAGTTATAAAATTACTTCAATTTGATATCTAACCTAAATTTGGATATATAACCTAAGTTTTGCGACAAACACACATGCACATTATTTTACATTCTCTCTCATTGTATTGGTAATATTAAAAACTGTGTTAGCGCAGGAAAATATGCGGTAAGATTGTTTTAAATATTTATGTTCTGGGTAAAAAAAAATTTAAGATATATAAACAATTTTTTTTAATAAAAAATGTTTATTTAAAATAACAGATTATTGTTAAAAAATATAATAGTTATTATTGATATATATAAAATTAAGATTGATTTAAAACAAAAAAGTTTTATAAAAATCTTTTTTTTATAAAACTTATGTAAAAAGAATTGTTTGCTAGTATTTTTCAGATTTGATTGTGTGTATTTGTACGCAAGATGTTAAAATATTTTGATTTGTCAAATATATATACTATCTAGTTTTCAGAACAAATACATTTTTTATGAAAAAGAATTTATATACTCATTAATTTTATTATTGATTATTGAATCTTTTCTTTTAGGCTCGTGGTCCAAAGAAGCATCTTAAACGTCTTAACGCACCTAAAGCATGGATGTTGGACAAACTGGGGGGTGTATATGCCCCCCGGCCATCCACCGGTCCGCACAAACTCAGGGAATCGCTCCCTTTGGTTATCTTTCTACGTAATAGATTGAAGTATGCTTTGACTAATTGTGAGGTCACTAAGATCGTCATGCAGCGCTTGATTAAGGTGGACGGAAAGATTCGCATTGATCCCAACTATCCTGCTGGTTTTATGGGTAAGTGCTTTTACTTTTATATCTTTTACTTTTTAGGTACATATATTTTACATTACCTTGTATAAAAAAGTTAAAATGGGCCATATATTGAAGCTATAATATGATTGCAAAAGTGTTATAGTCAAGAGTTGGCCAATAATAAGCAAGTTCTTTACTTTGGTCACAGATTAGTTGCACATATTGCACATATTCTGTATTACCCAGGAAGTGCACAAAAATATTTAACTTGTGCATTGATACAAGTATAAACTGATATAGATTAATTGTATTGCAATTAAAATGTTTTAGATGTCATTACAATCGAGAAGACTGGTGAGTTTTTCCGTTTGATCTATGACGTCAAGGGACGTTTCACTACTCATCGCATTACTGCTGAAGAAGCCAAGGTAAGTTGCTTGATATCATATAGAACTTGCATAGATTTTGCATTAAGCAAAATATTATATCTTATATTTATGTGTGGCATTTTTACAGTACAAATTGTGCAAGGTAAAGCGTGTTCAGACTGGTCCTAAAGGAATACCATTTTTGGTAACACATGATGGTAGAACAATCCGATATCCTGATCCTGTTATAAAAGTTAATGACACTATTCATCTGGATATTGCTACTGGCAAGATCTTGGATTCTATTAGATTTGATTCAGGTAATTATTCCTTTTTCTCTTTTCTTTTCCTTTTTTAATTTTCTGTAATAATATTAAAATACTAAAAAATAATTAACTGATATTATAAAAGAATGACACAATATATAACAAGTAAATATTATTTTGTTAAAAAAAATATACACACTTACATAGACATATATACATATAAACACACATATATTAGACAAAAAGAAAGATATTGAATATAATTCTCTCTTGTTTATCAGGTAATCTATGCATGATTACTGGTGGAAGGAATTTAGGTCGTGTCGGTACTGTTGTGAGCCGTGAACGTCATCCTGGCTCCTTCGACATTTGCCACATAAAAGATACGCAGGGACATACTTTTGCCACAAGGTACATAGAATAAAATACGTGTTTTATTTTTATAAATTTTAAACTCTATTAAGTTTAAAACTCTTTAATTATTTCCAATTGTAAATATATTGATGATAAAATTATATAAACTTTTCTCTGTCTTTTTCGTACATATTTTATTTTAAAAGAACTTGCTTTATAGTATCTTATTACTTTAAGTTCTCTCTCTCATAAATAGTTTCAGTTTTTATTTATTTTTAAAGGGTTTAGCTTTGTAATTCAGGGCCATATCGAAGCTATGATATGTGTATATTATGTATTATAGTCAAAATCTGGCCAAGATTAAATTCCTTCATATTGGTCACTGATTATCGTTATTAGATTTTCCGTATTACCCAAGAAGGAAACAACACATGTTATATGCAATTTATTTTCAGTAATAGTAGTAAGCGTTTAACCTATTATGTTTTTAATATGCAATGTAAATTTATCCAGATTGAACAATGTCTTCATCATTGGCAAAGGCACGAAGGCTTACGTGAGTTTACCACGAGATAGAGGTGTGAAGCTGTCGATTGCCGAGGAACGTGACAAGAGATTAGCGGCGAAAGGAGTTAATTAATAATGTAAATTTTCAAGAAAATAAAATTGATCAATAAAAATATAATTTAGGATTTTTCAAACAATATGAACAAATACCTAGACACAATATGTTTTTCACGAATACACCCCAAGTGCATAAAACTCCATATATATACACTAAAAAACTTAATTTATATGTAAATTTATTATTTTTATGTAAAAAAAAAAATTATATTTTTTTGTTATACTAATATCTCAAAACACATTTAGACAATGTTACTATATGATTGTTTTTCCTTGAAATTTCATTATGCGTTCTAAATTTTGTGCACATTATGTTATTTACATATCTGTTAGAGTAATTAAAATAATTATTCTATCTAGAAATTTTTACTGGCTTTATATAAAAATCGTATATAATATAATATATAGAAAGATATATAGTAATTATACTTGTATCGGCACTGCGTGCGCATGCGCGTCGACGGCCATATTCGCCGCGGCGGTTGCAGAATGCAAAGTCTGTGCTGAGTCGAGGACAACATTTTCCACAGATTTTAATCATCAAACAGCGGATGAGCGGGTTAATGTACATCGAGGATGGTAAATAAAGTTTCATATTATTGTCGCATTATATTCATTTACGTTCGCAATCGTATGTCATCGCGCATTTTGAGAGGAAATTCATGCGGTGCGAAGCGAGAGAAGTTACTGGTGCTGGGCGCTGCGCGCGCATACGCGTTGGCGGCCATATTCGTCGCGGCGGCTGCAGAATGCAGAATCGGTGCTGAGTCGTGGACAGGATCTTCCAGAGATTTTAATCATCAAACAGCGGATGAGCAGGTTAATTTACATCGTGAATAGCAAATAAAGTTTCAGATTATTATCGCGTCGCGTTCGTTTATGTTCGCGATCATATATTATCATGCATTTTGGAGAGAAAATTCGTGTGGCGCGAAGCGAGAGAAGTTCGCCGAAATTCGAGTGTTATTTATCATACGAGTGATCGCGCGGTCAACGGTCACCACGCAAGGAATTATAGGCACAATATGTTGAAGTAGTATACGGTGAATTTCGGTGCGTAAATTTGTTTGATTATTTATTGTTAATTATAATATGATCGCGTATAAGTATATTTAGTATTAGATATGATCGATTGGTAGTAACAATTTATATTCGTGTGATTGCAGAGCATGTTTTCTGCCGGTTCAATCCACAAATATATCCTCGACGAAAAGGAAAAGAGCCGAAAATTGGAGATCGAAGGAGCGATTATTACACCGCAAAACGCTACAATTTTTGGTGAGTAATTTGATTTATTATTGTCGGCTGAAGACCGGATATGTATGCATCCTGCATTTGGCGTTAAATGTGGCTATCTATTGTATAATAATCTATAATGATTATAAATTTATATATATAGAAAATTAATTATTTGATTATAATAATAACAGAATTATTATTATATGAAAAGCATTATAACTATACAATAACACGTTGAATTAAAAATAATAAT